GGTAACGTAACTACTCTCTCTCTCTCTCTCTCTCTCTCTCTCTCTCTCTCTCTCTCTCTGCTATGGTTCGGGTGGCCCAACTCAGCCCCACCCTAAAACGCAAGGTAACGAAATGTGGTATGAGGTTCGGGCTATGGCACGACACAGCCCGAGGGTAGGGCCGGCCAGTGCTTTTTTTCTTTGTTTTTTTATTGTGTTTTTCTTCTATTTTATTTGGCCTGCCCTGACTGTAATAGGCTAGGGCTGGGCCTGGGACATGGCCTTTTTGACCTGGTTAGGGTGGGTTCGTATCGGGCCTGAGCCCTATGGGGAGTAGGGATAGAGTTGGTTTATTGATGCCAAACCAAAATTTTTTCAAATATATTCATTTCGAATTCTATTATTTCTTGTCTTGCCACTCATCCATCTCAACATTGTTATCTCCGCTATACTCATTCTACGGGTGTATTGTTTTTTGACGGCCCAACATTCCATAGAGCAATACTTGTTTTTGTGTATCTATTAAAATTGTGTTTTAAAACTTCTATGAGGTCCCAAGTTAACATTAAAAAATATACCTTTTTATGGGCTGCAATGTTATGTAATGTTTTGGGGAAAATAAAATAAAAATATTAAAATGGCAGGCGGGAATTTTAATTAGAAAGTGGATGAAATTATAGCAAGGAGCTCAAATGTCAAAATCTCAGGAGTTTAAGTGATAGTTGTGCAAAATCAATTGTGGAAAGCCTAACTACCTAAAAAAACAAATGTGGAAAACACTGTATCACAAAAGTCGATCTAAACCAAATTTGATATAACACGTAGAAATATAAGAATAAAAAGTTTGTATGTATGCAGACACATTCAAACTTGGAGTTAGGCCTGGTAAGACCTTCCTTCTCCGCATCATCAACGCTGCACTCAACGCTGAGCTCTTCTTCTCCATTGCCAACCACTCTCTCACTGTGGTCGAGGTCGATGCCATCTACGTCAAGCCCTTCACCACCAATACTGTCCTCATAACGCCCGGACAGACTACCAACGTGCTCCTCACTGTGAAACCCAACCCAACAAATGCCACCTTTGCGATTGCCGCCCGCCCCTATGTTACAGGACGAGGTGCCTCCGACAACTCCACCACCACAGGGATCCTCCATTACCATAACTCCTCTCTCAGTAACTCTTCAATCTCAGTGCCTAAGTTTCCCCTCCTCCTCCCAAGCCTTCCTTCCCTAAATGACACCAACTTTGCCACTAACTTTAGTCGAAGACTTCGCAGCCTGGCTTCCAACCAGTTTCCTGCAAATGTGCCTCAAAAAGTAGACAAACGGTTCCTGTTTACTGTGGGCCTTGGGACCAACCCATGCCCGAAGAACCAGACTTGTCAAGGCCCCAATAATGCCACCAAATTCGCGGCCTCTATCAATAATGTTTCTTTCTCATTGCCCACAACGGCACTGCTTCAGGCCCATTTCTTCGGGCAATCGGCAGGGGTATACAGGACAGATTTTCCTGACAACCCGCCCAACAAGTTCAACTACACAGGGATGCCACCCAATAACACGAATGTGAGCAATGGCACTAGGGTGGAGGTCCTCGAATTTAATACGAGGGTGGAGCTGGTGTTGCAGGACACTGGGATACTGTGGGTGGAGAGCCACCCTCTGCATCTGCATGGCTTCAATTTCTTCGTGGTCGGACAGGGCTTCGGGAATTACAATCCCTCTACTGATCCTGCCAATTTCAACTTGGTGGATCCTGTCGAGAGAAACACCATTGGAGTGCCGAGCGGTGGTTGGGTGGCTCTCCGCTTCTTGGCTGATAATCCTGGTACTGATTCTGTCCCCCCTCTCTCTCTATATCTTTCTCTACCGTCTTGTACTTACAACATCAGAGAGATTTTCTTTGAGAAAAAAGGCTAGGGTCGTTGGCACCTCTATATTTGAATTATAGGTTGTGCCTTTCAATTCTACTGAAAATTACTAATAGATTTCCCGTTGAATTACCATAAAAAAAAAAGGATTTTCTCTAATAGATTCAAATAGAGCAAGAAGGGGTTACATTAACACATGCGAGTAGTGAGTGTGAATGGGATTGTTCATGTTGTGTACACATGCTGACTAGTCTCTTTGATGGTGTGATTTTAGGTGTATGGTTCATGCATTGTCACATAGAGGCGCACATAAGCTGGGGTCTCCGGATGGCTTGGGTGGTAAATGATGGGAAGCTCCCGAACCAGAAGCTTCTTCCTCCACCATCCCATCTTCCCGCATGTTGAGTTTTTGATGGAAGCGATTCACGTTCTCGTGGGGATGCCCTTTTAATTTATTCCTTTTTGTGCCCATTTTTTGGGTTTTTCCACTGAGAGGGTATGACAGGAGAAGTTGATGGTGGTTGTTTTAGATTTTGCTTGTGAGTAACACATGCGGTTGCAATAATCTAAATTTTGTAATGTTTTTTAAATGAAGAATATGGTGTTTGTTTGTTCCTTCCATCTTACGTTCTTTACTTAATGTGCACTCCCCTGAACAAATTATAGCTGATTTTCCCTGGAGTACTGGTTTCACATTTGTTCTAATGGAGTTTCAACCGAAGCCCTGATTAGTGAGAAAATAAGCTGAGGGTGTGGTTTGTGCAGGGTGTCAAATTAAAACAATTCAATAAGGCATACCTCTAAAGCTTATTGAGAGATGTAAGTTTTGCATAAGAGATTTCAATAATGATATGAAAAACTACTTTATATCTAATTATGAAATTTAAAATTTAAAAAGGTACAGATCGAGTAGAACTACAAATATTTGAAAATCGTCATAATTGATGGTTTAGATAAAGATAAGCCAGGAGAAGATAGTTCAAATAGAGGTATATATTTTGAAAATCCTCAAAAGCAAAACCTAACATGACACATTTTGAAAACATAATATTTTTTTTGTAACATTTATAAAAGTATTTAATGTCATCTAAAAGCTAATATTTTTTTTCTTCAAATGATACATAGATGTGTCATATCTAAAATATCAACTTTTGGATAAATATTTTTGATACTCGGTCCATATCAAACACTGACACACATGTCGATTTTACATAGATGAAGATGATTGAGAAGTATTATAGATGCCAACCAGATGAATCATATATGGTGTTCTAGTGCGCATTTCTAACATGTAATGCAACAAAAGATGCTCAACTCAAACTTGGGGCAAGGTTTGGAGGCTAAGTGGCAATTAAAAAATAAGCGATCTATCTCCGTGTACATTAGATACAATCATTCCTCTTCTCTTCAGTCTATCAATTGTGAATGTTTTCCCCTCATCCAAAAACCAAAGAAAAACTTGAATTTTGATGTAACAACTTTAGTGTTCCACACATCTCCTTGAATAACCTCTGCTACTGAGGCATCTTCGTGAGAAACCTTATGGTAAACTTTATGATGCAATAACTTTAGTGTTCTGTATCCTGTTCACTTATGACACTGGATTTGGTCCATTTTGCCAATAAGCATTCTAGATAATGTTGAAAATGCTGTTTAATAAACAATTTCTTTCTAAACAAAAGAGTAAGATTTGTTTGAGGCTTAATTCTCAATCAACCGCCATATTTTACATCTATGACCTACCTCCTTAGATGATTATCAGCTCATGAAAATCTCCACCACTATTTAGTTTATAAAGCCTTGATTCATAAATCTAAGCTTTTCAAATACCAAGCTCCTATCCTTCTTAGGCAAATGAACTTAACGCATCGATAAGGTCAATTTCTTTTTGTAAAAGTATCGAATGACACTATTTACCTTTAGTATAAGGTGATTACAATTAATCTTGACCATTGGATATGAAATTGGATGGCTGCATTTATTCCATTGCCCAACTACAAGCTTAAAAAAAAAAAATTTCAAACTTTGTGACACACCCAAACTATCAAATTTCACATCGGATGGTTATAAATAATTGCGACCACTTTATATCATAGGTAAATGGTCTCATTGTATACTACCCCCTTTTTTTTTTTTTTTTTTTTTTTTTTTTTTTACGGGAGTAATCCACAATAGCAAATGTTTCATGAGACCCTCCTATCTCCTTATGTGGCTTGGCAACACGTAATATACTGACAATTTTGACAAAGTTGATTCTCGAGGAGTAATTCTACGACCCTAAATGGCAGAAACTTGCTTTAAATCAAGAAAGAAGTTTTATATAAGGGTGAGGACATAAACAATCAAATTAAGGTGCACTTCAAAAATTTAATAGAAAAGGTAGTTTCAATGTTGAAAAAACTTCAAACTCAATCATCTCGACATCAAGATTTATGGACTTGAGAAAGAATAGATTTTATGACTCAAAAATAGTGTATCTTATGATGTATTATTTAAATGGTCAATTTTAAAAATTTTCAAGTGTTCATATATCTGCTCAATCTAAACCACTTTTTAACATTTACAATCTATACTTAGAGATGAAAATAAATTTTTAGGTCATTATAATGATTGATGATTGTGAAATAAAATATTTCGACACTATTTGAAAGTGTACCTTAATTTGATTATTTAAAGCCTCAACTTTATACAAACCACACCCTTAAATAAATCCATTTTGAATTAGAATCTTGCATGGATTGTCCCAATTTATCCCAAGTCATATAACTCCCCATTAGAGGAACCCCTTAAAGTCATACTCTATTGCTATGACTATGCCACTTGCTTTTTGAAAACTGATTTTCACTTGTATTAGCTCTCCAGCCTCGAATCCAAACCTCCCTCACACTAACCTCAATATAGGGCTGTAAATGGGTAAGCCTGGACCCACACAGGTCCAGGTCGGGTCAGTCAATTGGATTTGACTGTCGGATCAGGTAAGGTTGACATATAAAGAATAATTAATTATTATAACATCATGCATAACATGTACAATATTTTTCATTAGAGGTTGGGTTGATCTAGATCTGGACCCAACCTGTCAAGTTTAATTACCCCAAACCCAAGACCTGTCAACCCATTGGGTTGGTAGGTCAATCCCACCCATTTCTCACTCCTAATAGACAAACTTAAAAAATGGGTTAAAAAATGGGATGTGTATTAATGAAGCTAAATTATTTTGTGCTTCTATAGGAGCAAACTAACCAACTACTCCATTGTATAAAAATTAAGTTAAAATATATTTTTAGAACTCCAAGTAGTTGGGAAAAGATTTTAATCATGATGATAGGAACAAGCTACCTATTCATTCCCTAGGAAAAAAACTAAATTAGGTATATTTTTAGGACCCCAAATTTTGGGATGTGTCCTACCTAGATACAAACTCGAAAGCCGAGAAAAGGAAGAAGAAGAGAAGGACACATGCAGGCCTACACATGTAGAAATGCGGGCTTAGCAATAAATATGTTTTTTGTAAATATAATTCGATCTTAATTTTTAGAGAATATATAATCTTTAATATGGAGATTATGAATATGATTTTTTTAAAAACAAAACTAAAAATAATAATTATATTAAAAAAACATTAGGACTGGTAGTTACAGTTACTTTTAGATGGACCACCTATTTACATCCATCTTTAAAATTGATGCTTTATACCTCTGGACCATATATTATAAAAATGTGTCCAGCCCCCATGAAACAATTGTTCAAAAAAAAAACATATTCTATACACCTAAAAAAACAATGTCCCAAAATGAAACGAACAGTCCAATTTTTGGACAGCAAGATCTAAATGTAAAAGAGAAAAAAATCCAATGTATATGTTTTTGAGAATAATCATATGATGATATTTAAATAGATCCCAAAATTTTCAGTTCCAAAACATTTTTCCAGGTAAGTTTTTTTAATCTAAGGAAGCAAATGAACAGCTTCCTCCGATGGGAGAATAGTATATATGCTCATCTTTGAATATTTCTCCGTGTATTTCATTTGCTAGCGTGCAAGAGGGAGATTTCAAAGAAAGAAATAGTTAAAAAGAAAAAGTATATATAAGGTTGCCAACCTTAAAATGTAGAATTAAGGGTGCACCTCAAAAATCTATTCGCAAAAGTTGTTTTAATATTGGAAAACTCTAATTTATCATCTCCACATTGAGATGTATGAATATGAAAAAAAAAAAAAAGTTTATTCTCAGAAATAATGTACCTTGTCACAGATTATCTAGACGGTTCATTTTCAAGATTTTCATATGTTTATAGATCTACTTGATTTTAACTATTTTTGGAGTTTTCAGTTAATCCTAATAATATTTTACACCAAAATTACATGTTAGGATAAAATTTAGAGATGCACTTTAATTGGATTGTTTAAGGTTACAACCTTATATAAACCACACCCATAGTTAAATAGTTATCTTTAAATTATGTGGGCAATTATTATGCATGTGGAATTTTTTCGAAGGTCCTTTGTTCTTTGAAGTTAGAACATTTTTAAACATCATGAACGAATTCGCATTTTCACCCTGTAAAAAATGAGCATGTTTACTTTTACTCCCTCGGTCAAAAGACCCATTTGATCGATTTTTCAATTTAAAATTTAGAAATTATTTAAGAATTACTTGATAATTATTCTCAAACAAATTTTTAAGTTGAGTTTTTTAACTCATAGATCTAGCCGTCTAAAAACTAGATGGTTTCATGACATTAGTTTTTTCAAAGTACATTGGAGATGCAATTAAATTTTTTATCAAGATTAATTTAAAAAGTTGAACAGCCAAAAATTTAAAATCCCAAAATTATTTTTTGAGAGAGATTTTATCCCATGGAGTGAAATTAGTAAAAAGATTCTAATTTGGGAGTAGAATATCTTGTGGCCTCAAAATTTGTTTGGCCTGTCCTACGAAGAGGCATAAGTTAAGTCGTTTCGTCTGAATTCCCAAATCTAAAACCAGGGTCTCTCTTGGGTCGGTCACAGTAAACAACCTAGAAAGGGGCATTTTGGTCATTTATCCTTACTTAAATCCCAATACAAAACGTCCTGCTAATGCCATTGACGAGTTTCTCAGGCAAAAGAACCCACTCTCTCCCCTCTTTCTCCCTCTACTGGCCGTGGCGGTGGTGGTTAAGATCCATAGCCATGGCCACCAAATACCTCTTCTATCCCTCTCTAGACCCAAATTTAAGTGACCACCTCTTTTCTCTCTCTATGCACTGATACATTGGAGAGATGAAGTGCAAGTTTCTCTCTGTTCCCGTTCTCGTAGTGTTGCTGTTTATTGGATTTCTTTACTACACCACGGTATTCATTCTCATAGAGGAATGGTTGGGTCTTAACACCTCTCCTGGTCTCTTGAATGCCATCATTTTCTCTGGTTTTGCTGTGGCTTCCATTGCTTGCTATGTGCTTGCAATATTCAAGGATCCTGGCCATGTTCCTGCAACTTATGAGCCTGACATTGAAGATTCCACAACCCCAATTCAGGAAATCAAGCGAAAGGTGTGATTTTTCTGGCCTCTTGATCTGATCATTGTGTTCTCTCTATTTTTCCTTCTTATTGGCAAAATTTTCCTCTTTATTTTTGTGTGTGGGTTTGAATGTTTTCAAAATAGGGAGTTGAATTGGAGTTGAGTTTTGATTTTTGACATGTTTCATATTGTATAGAGTTTGTTGGGCTTGTTTGATGTAACTTCTCAATTTTGTTCTTGGGCTGGCCTGTTTGTTTATGGGCAAGTGGGTTGGCCTGTTTAGTTCTTTGATTTGGGGAAATGTGTGATTCATGGTTGGTATGGCTAGAGGGAAAATTGGAGGATAAAGTAAGTTCATACTCAACGGGCTCGAGAAAAATAGTCTGTCTTTCTCTCTCTCCCTCTCTTTCTCTCTCTCTCTCTCTCCAAAAGCTATTTGTTTTGTACTTTTGTCCTTGTAATTCCTGGATGATTTTATCATCGTCGGCAACATCATATCCTCACGAATAGTGTTAAACATGATCCTGCATCATTTGATTGGCAATATGTTGTTGTTGTTGTTATTATTATTATTATTATTATGGGATTTGATACTGTAAGACTATTCACTTTTGATAAAAGGAGTTTACAATTACTCTTAGCCCTTACATGTGAAATCCTACATATTAAAATGTATCACCTACATATTAAAATGTATCGTAAAATTCTAGAAATTTTAGTTTGGACTTTGTGCCTGACACATCCCCAACCATCCGATTTCATACTTAACTGTCAATAATGATTGTGACGTCCTTGTACTAAAAGTAAATGGTCTTAACGTATACCTTCCTATTACTATTGTTGTTGTTATTTTGGTGGTGATTGGGAATGTTGATATGTATATAAATGTCGATTAGTAAGATATACTATTGAAAGCACTCATAAGACCACTGTTACAAAGTATCCTTTTTGAAAGATTCTGCGGATATTGGTTCCTGGCCCTTTGTTTTATCCTTGTGGAGAGCTTTCTAGACCAACTGTGGTCAAGATTATGTTCTTTTGATTGGAGTTTATTCTCCATTGCCATTTATTGACATTCCATATGTGTCCTGATTTCTTTCTCATTATCTACCTCAAGTTGAGGTGTTAAAGACGGGAATAGATGGATTTCTTTGCAATTTTGTAGATGTGCCAAATTAGTAGGTCAAATAGGAGGTACACTTACTTTGAGTCCTCTTATAGTGCAGTGTTTCTCTAAACTTATGTCTGCAGAGACCTTTGTGCTGTGCTGTTATCTTAAAATGAAGCAGTATGAGAGTAGAAGCATGATATGGTTGAAGAATATCTCTTATTTAGTTATTCCTAAGAAAAATAGGAAATTCACCTAGGTTCCAATACTGTCATGGGCTTGTTCAAGTGAAACAAAGATGGTCCTGTTGCTCAATTGAATGCCTGCCTTGATGTCAGTTTTAGCAGAAATATGGATTTGGAGGGAACAATAAAGCTGACCAATTAAAAAATTCCACAATTTTGCATGCTCATCTCTCTTCTGGTGCAACTAAACAATGCAAATGGATGTTAAATACGCATATTTATGTCAAACTAGATAAGAAACATTTGTGACTGAGTTTCTTCATGAAAAGTTGAGGCTATGCATGTAAACTAAAGAGGTCTATTGAGCATAGAGAACACTGGGGGGCTGGTATTAAATACACTGCATGGTGCCTGATTTGTGCATATTTAGTGATGTTTTGACTCTCTAGTGTGCATGGCTCCTGAAGAGGTCTATTGTGCGTAGAAGACACTGGGGGGCTGGTATTAAAAACACTCTATAGTGCCTGATTTGTGCATATTTAGTGATGTTTAGACTCTCTAGTGTGCATGGCTCCTGAAATGCACATAAAGCATCGTAGTGATTATTATACATGTGGATGCTCAAGTGGCAATTAAAGATAACTTGAGAGATTCAATCAATTTGTGGGTTAGTTATCAATATAAGTTTAAATGAGGATTTATGAGAGCTTAATCACTTTTGCGGTTTGGAGTATCTTATAAACTTGTTGGGAATGTTAGGCTGTACTATATGCGTGCGAATAACTATGAATACAGATTTTAACTGAATTTAAACTTGTAAAATAATCTGAAGATACAAGGCCATTAAACAATTTACAGTTGCATAACTGGTAAGCATGGGGTTTTGATGTATATTACTGTCACTCAATTTGATCTAGCTTTTATGGTTGGGACTTAGCACTTTGGGAACTTCATGCTGGCGCTTGAAATTTTCAAGTGGATGTAGTTTGGAAAATGCAATGTGTGTTCTGTACTAGTACAAACAAGCATCAATCGTGAATGACAGAGACCTATGTCTCTATATTATAATGAGAGAGAGAGAGAGAGAGAGAGAGAGAGAGAGAGATTTATTCTACTCCAAAAACCAAAATAGGTACTGGCATCAGAATGCTTGTTGAAGGTTATGGCCTAGGATTTTGGAAGACTGGAACATTTTGACAGTGCGAATTTAGAAGGTGGTAGTCCATGGCCTTCTTGCTGTTGAGGACCTTGAGGGTTGAGTATGTACGGAAGCAACCTTGTTCTCTTGCCAATACTGATACCGCCCCTTCTAGAACGACAACTGCTCAGACTGGAGAACCAAAATAATGATCAATTGTCCCGTCTGGCCCATGCAACATAAGCAGAGTCTTCCCACTATAGGAAGAAAGGCAACAGATGATTACATATATAAAGGGCATATGTCCTTAAATTCTTTAAGTGATCCATTGTTCTATCTTTACTCATGAATGCCAACTGTAAAGTACCTTTGGAGGTAACATATAAAGAAGATGATGTCGGAAGAAGCAAGCACTTGGTAAACTGCTACTTGAACTTTAAAATTGCCGATAAAAGTCCAGTACTATGCCAAGTCCACGAGTTTAACTTACCACGAAGGAGATGATCTCTTATGTTTTGAAGATCGATGAGCACTTCCATGCAGCTGCTATCATAGACAGCTGCCCCCCTCCTAGAAAGAAGTTCGAGATTATTAGAATTACTTTATAGCTTTGTTTGTGATTGGGAAAACATTTAGAAACGTGGTGGCAAGAGATACTTTATCATATTTATCGACGACTTCCCAAGATCCACATATTTTACCTTGTAAGAAACAAAGATGAAGTATTTGAGAAGTTCAAATTTTATAAAATTGAAGTTGAAAGTCACTTGAGTTTAGTGAAAACGGTGGTGAATATTGTTCTACTGGCTTCACAAAATTTTGTGAAGAAAGTGGAATCATTCATTAAGTAACTGCCTCATACTTGCAGCAACATAATGGTTTAGCCGAAAGGAAAACCCACACATTTGTGGACATGGTTGATTCCTTGCTCCTGCTAATTTGTGGGGAGAAGCTTTGATGTCTGCGTGCTACATTTTGACCAGAATATCATATTCTAAATCAAATTATATCGCGCACATTCATTGGAGGGCATGATAGAGAATTTGATGAACGGCCAAGAAATGTAAACATAATGAGCATGAGAACCCTGAAAGACTAAGATCTAGGAAAAGCAAGAGAGTCAGGAAACCAAGTGATTTTGGACCTAACTTTCCAATTTATCTTTTTTAGGAAGATCTTAAGAACTTCTAAGAAGCCATATCCTTGAATGACACCCCCTTTTGAAGGACGTGGTCAATGATGAGATGAATTCTATATTTAGGAATGATACTTGGAAATTTTGGATTTACCTACTAGTACTAAGCCTTTGGGATGTAAATGGATTCTAAAAAGAAAATAAAGTTAAAGGGTAGTATTGAAAAATTTAAAACGAGGCTGGGTGCTAAGGGTTATAGACGAAAGGGTTATATACCTTCTAGAGATTCACCAAATAGATGTTAAAACTTCTTTTCTCTTTGGTGAACTAGATGAAGCAATTTATGTGGAACAACCGCAAGGATTTGTCTTGGAAGGGCAAGAACACAAGGTATATAAACTAGTTAAATCCCTATATGGTTTGTAGCAAGAATCAAAACAAAATGGCATGAACATTTTGATAGATTGATTTTATCTCATGAATTCACTCCCAATCACTCTTAACAGATATTTATCCACTGGATGGAAAAATGGTGTTGTGGTTATTATTTGCTTGTATGTGGATGTTATGCTCATACCAGTATTAACAGTGTATACAAAGAGGGCACTGAGAAACTTCTATCTTTTGAATATAATATGAAGGATATATGGCAAGCTGATTTGATTCTTAGAATCAAGATAGTGAAGAATCAATATGTTTACTCTTTAACCCAGTCACTATATTGAAAAGATACTCAAAATGTTTAATCACTTTGAGAGTGAACCAACTCGAATCCTGTATGATCTTCATATTAAACGTAAAGAATAACAAACATCTTGTTTGTCATTTGGACTTTGCAAAGGTCCTTGAATGTATTATTTATGCAATGTCGTGCAATGTTATCAAATTGCGAGATGTGAACTCAATGTTGTGAGGATTCGATGCGAGATGCAGTTTTAAGACAGGGTCATCACATGCGATGAGATAGATAAATTTTAAATATTTTAAAAATATAAGAATCTATAGAAAAACACAATTGTGTTATTTATGTGACATTAGAAATTTCTTATCAAATATTTTAATTTAGTACTTCACTCTGATATATTAGATGGTTCAGTTGCTTGATAGCTGCATAGTCTGATATAGAGTAGCAAAGTTTGTGGTCTTACATGTAAAACAAAGTAATCCATTCCATTCCATTCATAAATTTAAATAAATAAAACGCAAATTGCCCAATAGGTATGGCAATTAAGAATTAGCATAACATACCAAGACCAAAAGTACTTCACTATCACGACCAAAACCTCAAAACCAAAGGTAAATATTGATATTTTACATAACTTCCAAACATTAAAGACCATAGGTTCATAACATACAAAATATAAAAAATAATATATTTACTCAAGCTCAATGAGTCAATGTGTCAACTCTCAGGTCTTAATGAGATAATTCATGTGATGATCCATCACATGCATCTTCCCCAGCC